GTGTGTCCGGCCTCAAGGCCCATCTTGCCAGCTGCAGCAAGGTCAGTTCTGGGATTATCCCCATGGCTAGGTGGGGCACTGGGCACTCCCAGCTCTCTCTTGCCAAGGGTTTACCTGTATAGGTGTAAGACCCCTACCCTGTCCACTGCATATAATCTCACAGACTAGTAGGTACTCAACAGGTGGCCCAGAATCCTTCTCTGTTCCCTACACTAGTCGTTTGGTTCCAAATCATACCCTGGAGTCTCCTTATCTTATGTAATATAAGTGTTCATCCTGACCTGAGCAGAGGGCGCACTTGGCTTGAGATGAGGACATTCATCAAAAGACTATGACCTATCCCTACAGCACCTGCCTCATCCTACCCTTCTCTTATTTCCTACTCCTATAGCAGGGATGGCTTAATAATTCTATTGCAGGGTAGTGTTTCAGTCCCTAAACCCACCATTGACACACATCCTAGAAGACAGTGCAGCTTCTTTCTGGCTGACCCCAGCCCTAACCTTTTAGCAGCAGGATAAGGGCTTGGACCAGATGTGGGTGCTTTGAATCTTCCGAAGGTTGGGTACTGGACCACTGTGCATTGCAGGGGGACCACCTGGTTGGGAAGTACCGCTGCCTGCTATGTCCCAAAGAGTTCAGCTCTGAGAGCGGTGTCAAGTATCACATCCTTAAGACCCATGCAGAGGTATGAAAGTTATCTTCTGGGCTTACAGACCTGGAGACTGGCCTTAGGGATGGGTGGTGGAGAACAGGTGGTTCAGATGGTGTACACTGAAAAATCTGGTGTTATCTTCTCAAAATACAGTTCATATCTCCTGAAGTGTCAAGAGCATGGGGTGATGCATCTTGAAGAAAAAAGAATAGTCTGGGGTTCCCCAGCTTGGTACCCAGCCACTGAGTGGAGCCTACCGAGGCAGGGGAAACCCTGACTTCAGCCACTTCCTAGCAGTTGCATGCCCGACCAAAAAATAGTTTAGGTGGGTTGGAAAAATGTGTCAGTGGTTAAGAGTACTTCCTGCTCTTCCAGAGGATCTGAGTTTGTTTCCCAACAACCATGTCAAGAGGCTCACAACTGTCCATAGCTCCGGCTCCCTGGCCTTGGCCTCCATAGGCACCTGCACTCACATGCACATACCCACCTGCAGACACACACACCAAAAAAAAACAATAAAAGTTAAAAAAAAAATTTAACGAAAAAGTTATGTCTGTAGCTTTGGATCAAGGTCCCCAGTCTTGATTGCAAGTTTTCTCTCCCTAGAATTGGTTCCGGACCTCAGCTGACCCACCTCCCAAACACAAGAGCCAGAACTCCTTGATGCCTAGGAAAGAGAAGAAGAAAAGTCTGTCAGGAGGAAAGAAGCGGGGCCGTAAGCCCAAGGAACGGTCCTCTGAGGAGCCAGCATCTAAGCTGCCACCTAACAGGGATGACTGGCCCCCAGGAGGCAGAGACAAGGGGGCCCGAGGCTCTACTGGGAAGAAGGCTGGAACTGGGAAGGCACCTGAAAAGTGAGCCTAGTGGGCAGGGCCTAGCCACCATGCCCAACTTTGTCCAGATTAGGGGAGCCAGTTTCAGACCTGTCCTCCACCTCCACACACACACACCCATCTGTCCAGAGGGTTGGCAAACCACTCTGATCTCCCTGAAAGTGGTCCTTCCCCTGTTTAGGCTGCCTCACGTGGCTAGGTGGGGCTCCCCAGGAGTGCCAGGGGCAGCAGCAAAAGTGCAATAGGCTGGGGCCCCAGCCATCCCTACAAGGACATTCTTGGACCTGGCAAAATCTAGAGCTTTGGTGCCATGGGGCATGAAGTGTGCTTGAACAGCCAAATGGCCCCTATCTCCACCTCCCTCTGGCCCAGTAGGGTCCTCACTCTGACTCCCTCAAGGCTCAGACATTCCTGGTGACCCATAATCGTGGGCTGATGAGGCACCTGAGCAGCCTGGCTGCCATCACTTAGGCCTCACCTCCACCCAACACTGGATCTCCAGTAACTCCCAGCTACCTCCCAGGACAGACCCTGTCTAGCTACTGCCATGCTGCCCTGACAGCCACCCACCCATCTGTCCTCTTGCATCCACTTATGACCCCCTTGCTTCTGTTTTCTACCTCTCTGGGCCTACTCCCCTCCTCTGTCATTTCTGCTGTGTTTCAGGCCTCACCCTACTGACAGGTGTGGTCATGGTCGAATATGTAGCCTTTCAGGCAAGGAAAGAATTCTGTGTGTTCTACCTTCAGGGAGGCCCAGACCCATAGCTACCAACCTGAGAGCAAAGGACTAGAATGTTCCACCTCCAGCCTTTAGTTTCTGATCTTGTTGGCACCCTGAGGCATGCCTCCCTGGGGCCACAGCCATGTGAAGCAGAGGCTGGCCAGAAGGAGCCTCTAGCCCAGGAGTAGCGCCTATGAGAGACTGCTTATGTCTACCATGCTAGGTGGGCCCATAAGCCAAGTTCCGTGGAAGCTCTCTTTTTTTCCCCCTGCTTTAACTGCTCTCAGTATCTAGTGGCAGTCAGTCATTGATACAGAAACTAAGGGATAGTGAAAGATGGGGTCTCAGCCAGTGTAGTGGCTCTAGGCTGGGTCCCACCCCTTTAGGGGCCCTGAGGATAACAGGGTCTGCAGGTTGTGCAAGGCCTGGAAGAGAGATCTGGCCTCCTTCCTGGTTCTACTTTCTAACCCTACCCACCACTCTGTGAGCCATACCGGAAGAAGGCTGGAGGGGAAGAGAACAGGCTTTTTCCAGTGTGGGTAGGGGTGGACTTGAGTCCTCTGCTTCTGATCCTGGACGATGTGAATTTTGATATTTGCCTGTGTGTGTCTCCTGGATGTTGTTGATGGCAGTCTTGTTGCTGTGACAAGTAGCAACCTTTTTTAAAATTCTGGGTTTTTTTTTTTGTTTTTCTTTTTTATACAAAACTCAACAATTTTATGTTTTGGTGCTAAGGGTTACCTGGTGCCGAAGGTAGAGCTGGGCTGTAGTACTGACTGGCACCTGCCCCCTAACCTCAGGGGGAGGAGTTCCAAGGAGATTTGGGATGGAGTCTTTTATACACTCCTATCTAGGAAGGCTCTGACTCTAGGCAACCCTGGCTTGATATGCTGGGGGTATTGAATGGACTCTTCAATTCCTACACACCTTTGACATGATCAGAGGGTGGCCACAGAGGTGGGTAAAATCCAGTGTCAAAGGTCAAAGGGTAGGCTGGGGGTTTTGTTTGGTGGTGTGCAATTGCAGAAGGGAATGGGGCCCAAGTGCACTTTCACAACACCTCTGTGGGGTGTGACCATCCACCTCAGCCTCTCAGGTACTTGGCACTTGTAGGAAGAAGTAGGACCTGGGTTTTGCTGGGGGTTGAGTTTCCAGGACATGCCTCAAAACCTTGATATGGGACTTGGGGTTCTGGTCACTTGATGTTTAGCACTTTAACTCCTTTGTCTTTGAGGTGGGTGTGGGGGCAGCTATTAAAGGCGGCAGTTGGATAGGTACCAGCTGGTGGTGGCTGGTAAGGGGTTTTGGCAAGCTAGTCTGTAAAACTCTCTTCTAAGGTAGTAAGGCCCTCCCTGGGCAGGGTTCATCAGTCTGCCCACCTTCCTACTCTGGCCCAAGGGTGACCACCAGCCTACACAGACCCTCAGAGGGACCATCATTGGCAGATCTCCAGGAGGTGGTGGGCTTGGACTTAGAGGCCCAAACAAACCCTGGGTCCTTGGCAAAATGCAAAAGTCAGGGTCTCTACAGATCTACCTCTGGCTCAGCGCTTGCCCTGCCCTAAAAAACAGAAAAGTGCCAAGGGCAGACATTTCATGCAGAACCAGGGTGCACTTTATGTTCCTGCACAGGCAGATATTGGTGCCTCCTGGGGGCTTTGGGGCCTTCCTGTCCCTATAGTGGTTCTGAGGGGAGAGTCATTCCTGCGTTCCCCTGTTGGGTAGAACCCAGGCCCTTTGCCCTGGAGGCCTGGTTTCCCAGGTCACCCCTCATACCTGACTGCAGCGCCTCCTAAACTTTGGGTTCCTTGGTTTGGTTTTAATACAGTTCTCATTACACAAGTGCATTTCTGGCTATCACTTGTAACCATAGATATACATGCATATATATTCTATCTACAAAGTGTTTTATTTGCAAGATGTTTTTGAGGTGAGCTTGGGTCCTGCCCGCCTTGTGTTCATCTGTCCCCATCCTCATACCCTGGCCCAGAGTGGTGCGGTGGTGGGCCGTCAATTGTATGTATTAAAATTACTGTATCAAATAAATGTTTATTGATTTTTTTTTTTCCAAGGGCTTTTGTGCGGCTGAGTTTGTGTTGAGGCGCAGGCCCTTCCTTAGGCTTGCCGCATGGCCTTGTGGGGCTCGTAGTCCGCAGCGTGCCAGACTCCCGGCGCGCCTCCCTGGCCTCAGCCAGGTTCGGACGCCATGGCTGCGCCGCCGGCCTCCGCAGACGCTGCCCCTTCGCCCCTACAATCCACTGTGGCCCCAGACGTGCCCGGCCGCTCGGCCGAGCAGAATGAGACTGCGTGTGAGGACCGGTAGGCACGGGCCTGGATAAGGCAGGGGCCGCGCTCGCCTCCTGGGAGGGGTCAGCGCACGGCTTGCGTCCCTCCCTAAAGCCCGGGTGGCTTTGCGGCATCTCTGCAAATGGGCCGCTCGGTCTCCACAGCCGCATAGATCCTGGACAGGTTTCAGCGGTTCTCCGGAGCTTTGGGGCCTCCTGGGCCATGTGTCGGCAATCCCCTGCCAGGGAGAGGGAGGTGACAGGTGGCCTTGAGGGCCCCAGCAGATGGAAGGCGGAACTGGCCCAAGCTCTTAGCTTTTGGAGGCACAGAAAATGGAAACCTGTTTGACCTGTGTGGCCTGGGTTTCTGTCCCTGGTGGCTCTAGGCTCCCAGGTGGGTGGTGGACGTGCTCGACCTTCTGAGTTCGTCGAATTTGATCTCACCAGCTCCTACCTACCTGGCGGCCAGTGGTAACTGTGAAGGTAGGATCAGGTGGTGATCTCCAACTGCCCGAGAATTTGGGGGCCCTTTCCAGCCTTTCAGGAGCATGGAGAGGGCTCGGCCTGATCATCACGCGTAGCAACTCCGGGCCACGGCCGCCAGGGGGCGGTGACCGTGCTTGGAACTGCATGTGGCACCTATTCTGGTCTGATTGCACCAGTTGAAAGCCAAATGTCTTCCAGCTCTACGGACCTCAGAGCACAGCTTGGGGAACTGTGAGCCTGGACGACTTTGGGACGGCAGGTGCTGGAGGTGGATGAGGCAAATCCAGGCTAGTTCACACACTCCAAGGCATTCTAACTGGAAGCCTGAAAAACTTGGTTGGGTCTAACAAGGCTGAGTTTGTGACGCTTTCTGGTTCAGAATGTCTTGATATAACCAGAAGCAAAGAGGTCATGGCCGGCCACATACTTCCGAAGGTTCCTGAGGAAACCACCCTGAGAAGATAGACTGCCTTAGTGCCTCAGGCACTGGCAGCAAGCAGTAGGAGAGGGAGTCACTGATAGACCTCTTCATGTCCAGTGTGAGGTTTCTCCTATTGCTTTTCCCAGCACCTGTCCCCATATCTGCCGGCCCTCGAGGCTTTTTCCTTGGAGTCTCCTGACCTTAACTGGTACAACCAGTGGCTTTCATGTCAATATGCAAAATGGATATTAGGCTGAGATTATAGAAGTGGAGAGAAGCTAATGGTGCCCACCCAGAGGCTTGGGATCCAGTTGGAGGTGTGTGAGTGAAGGAGTTACAGTGTGGCAAATGGGCCATGGAAGCCTTTAATCTCCCATTCCTGTGTCTACCTTGTGAACATGATCTTGGTGACTACCTCTGAACCATCCCCTGCCTCTTGCAGGTCTTCCATAGAAGCATCAGGAGGAGTAGCTTGACTGTAGGTCTAACAACGGCCGAGGGACCTTGATACCTTTCTTAGTCCTTTGGTGGTCCAAGTGATGACCCTTCCTCTCTTCAGACCCTGCTGTAGACATTTGATTCTGTCTTCTCTGACACAGGGGAATGCAAATTATAGGGCAGCTCTTCTTCCATGATTTTTATCTTATGTAGGTTCCTTATCAATAAGGCACCTGCTTAGGTCCTCAGTGACCCCTATTTCCTTGATAAGGATAAGGTCTGCAGCAACTCCCTGGTGAGTGATTGCATCTGAGCTATAGCTGACAGAGTTTTCACCTAGTGGATAGGCAGGGGGAAATGAAAGTAACAGCTCCCATCACCACCTACCTCATACAACCCTGAGACCTAAAATGGAAGCCTGAAAGAGGAAACTTCAGGGGCCGGAGTTATTTATTGGCCAGGTAGCCTGATAAATCCTAGGTTAAGGTGAAGTTTAGGGTTCAGGGTCTGATATTCTAGGGCCAAGTTTAGTGAATCAGTCGGTGGAGCAGCCCTATATGTTGACAAACCTGGAATCAGGCCTTCCCTTTCTGAGACCAGCACAGTGTTAGCTTCCCACAGACCTGATAGAGCACTCAAAGAACATGTTAGGATCCCTCTGTTGTGATCAGCCAGCCAAACTTGTACACTGATTCCCTAGGACCTCTTGACTCTGCATCTCTGCCCAGAACAACTTTAGCCTCCCAGAGCAATCCTAGGGCATATCCAGCCAACCACCTGAGTGAGGAGGCAGAGGGACAAACTCTATAAACACATACACACGTACATGTAGACATAGACTCTTCTTGCTCCAGGTATCTAGTAGGGATGTAGACACAGCCATAAATTACCTAGTGAGAAGAGCTGCCTCCAAGGTGCTCCCAGAGTAGCTCCTGTTCAGGTGTGTGAAATCCACTTGGAAGCTTCCTTTTTCCCAATCACCTGCCAGACTGTCTTCATGCTGGAGGCCAGCCACATAGAATGAGGTTGCCATAAGGCCAACCCACCCCTGGAAGAGAATCCCAAGGCCAGCAGAACCTCTCTGATTAGATCTTAAGTCAGTAAAGGAATTTCAGTTGAGACTGGGACCAAACCTTCCCTTTCTCTCTATGCTGTGGGCAGGGAGGTGAGTGTGTCCCCTGCTGACTGATGAGGCCTGGGTAGCCATAGGACTTACTGGAGCCTCTGTAAGGTGGGGGTAGGACAGTTATTCTTGGATGTGTTAGGGTAGAGTTTCAGATTTGTTTATCTTTGTAGGAGGCACCTTGGGGCCAGGGGAGAGGCACCCAGCTCATCACTGACATTCAGATCATCTGGCCTAGAGGGGTCCTCAGATTTCCTTGTCTTGCTGTGTATGCATTTGGGGCACAACTGTATTTCTTCCAGGAAATTTTGGGAAAGGTACTAAAGTACAGTGGTCCTCAGCAAGTCCAGGCTAATGAGCATACTGGCTGACACTGAAATATTCTTCACAACAACTGGCCTGGGGATTGTGCAGGCCAGAGTTAGTACTATTAATATCTGGTGCATGAGCCCTAACTGGGTGATCCTCTTATACATGTGGCCTTGGCCTCTGAGACTAGCATTGTATTCCCTTAGTGCAGTAGGGCTCCTGGGGCCATCTAGCTGCTGTGCCCCACCCCCTATATATAGTAAGCTACTACTGCCAGCCTAGGGGTCCAACCCTGCCTAGCTCTTCTATGCTGCCCACAGGAGTGATTCCATCCATGGAGGATCAGTTCAGGTGGCCAGAAATCCCAAGCTGTCCTCGGGGACAACACTAGTTCTAAGAGGTAGTGATAATCTAACTGCTAGCACCTAGACCACGTATACCTGGGTCATCTCACTGTCCAGGGATACCCACCTCTGAACCTTCTGTACCTACCTGCATCCTTGGCAATGAGCAGCCCCCCAGCTTACCCTGGCATCAGGATCTCAGGGTGCTGGACTCTTGGAGCAGAAGGCAGGTGAGTTGCAGCAGAGTCCCTGCTGAGGAGAACCCCACTTCCCAATGATACTGACCACTCCTGACTTGTGTGTGATGCGTGTCCATGGATATCTCTGAAAACAAACAAGCTGGCAGGTGCTCCTGGGAGCCAAACAATGCTCAGGGCTGCAGATGTGGCTGGCTTGGGATGGTAGGTTATGGTAATGTCTCTTAACTCTGTTTGTACAAATGAACTTTTGTTATTGAGGCCAGAAGCCCCTTTGTCTGTCTGTGGATAAGAGATGAAGTATTTTGTGCTACTTTTCCATCAAGAGGCACCTTTTGTGAAAAATGGGGTGATGCCATATCTCTGGCTCCAGGAGACAGCTATTAACTTTGAGGAGGACAAGGGGTGCTGGGCTTGGTACAGACACAGCATGAGGTGGATTTCTGGCAACGTTCTCCCTGATCTACTTGCAACTGTGCACTCTTCCCATCAGCAGCACAAGCCTTGGAAGGGATCTTCACCAAGGTGGAGAAGAGTGGCTGATGGGGAACTTGGGGAAAATTCCCCCAAGGAAACTGGTACTGCAAGAATCAGGGGGATCAGGAAAACAGCCCCAGCCTGTTGCCTCCTTTGTCCAATTTCTGTCTGAGTGTGTCATGGCTTTGTGTGTACTTGTGTTTACCAATGGTGGCCAGGGCACAGCCTACAGGCAGGCTTTATCAGGTTGTTTGGCCCTCTTGCAAGTCAGATGTTCTGCATTGGAGTAGTTTCCTCCCAAAAGCTGAGGGCAGCTCCCTGGGGAAAGTGGAGGAAGCCTGGTGGGAAGACAGAGAACCTGAATTTGTTTTTTGTTTATTGTGGCCTCCCAGAGCTACACTGTGTACTGTGGTCATGCTGCCTCTAGGGACCAAGGCAAGACCCAGTCTGGAACTCTGGGGAGTCTCTGCTCTTTCCTCTAGCTGGGGCCCCCCAACTCTTGCCCACTGGAAAGGACAGCCCAGTGGATAAGCTTCACAGATCCATTTGTTTACTGTGGATGGATTAGTATACTCAGGTGAGCAACCAGTTACCCTCTGTCTGGGGACCTGGGGATCTCATTGTTTGTGTTTATAGTTGTTGCCTCCCTTTTTGACTGAGCCGTTCAGGCAGGCCTGAGTTGGGATGCCGGTGATACCCCTTCAGTAAGCTCATCATTTCTTGACCTGTGTCCCTCACATGCTATCTGTCCCTAAGATCCTTGACTGGCAGACTCAGTTCTCAGTATTCAGCTGTGTTGTTTATGCCTAGCCTCATGCTCTCAACTCCTGCACTTGTCTCCAGTGCAGTGGAGTTAAGGCTGAACTTTTAACAGACTGACTAATTATTCCCTATGCTCGTTCTCTGAGCTCTGGTAAGGTACAGAAACAAGCAGGCCTATTGTCTTTGTCCCCAAGGATGAATGCAATGTGTTTTGCTGGTTGGATGCAAATGGGCTCTTTTCATGATGCTCACTTGTATCTATGTTGTCCTGTACCTTTCAGAGCTGCCAGTATGAGCAGTTACATGTTGAGTTTCTACCCATTCTTTCCACTGCCTGTCCTCTAACTCATGTGCATACAGCCACAATCTTTCTGGTTCTAGGAAGCATTATCCAGCTGAGAACATCATTGTTCTCAAACTGGGCTATCCCAGAGGTAGAAAGAAGTTTGCCTCGAGCCACATCAGCCCCATGAAGCATCATACTGAGAGTTGTGAGGCAGCAGTAATAGAAATTACCAGACAAACCCATCTTCCGTTTTGATGAGAGAGCTTGTACTTGTAAATCATTCAAATGTGACAAAAGTCCCTGTCTCAAATTGTGGTCTCCAGGGAAATGCTGATTATTATACTGACATATTTGCTTTCAGGGTTTCTGAGTACACACCTTTCTTACAGACATTGGCGTGTATGTGCATTTGGGTGAGCATGTTTTGGGGGTATAATGAGGATCAGGCCCCGTACTTGTTTATTAAGCTATGTCCTCAGTCCCTAAGTGAGCGTCCTTCATCTATTGGCTTTTATGTAAACTGAACCTTTTTTCATTATAGTATACTTTTTTTACCCAAGAGTGCCCTAGGGATACTTGTTCTGATCTGGACCTGCCAGTCTTCCTCATTCACCTCAGGCTTACCTGGTATTCCATCCAGCATTCTTTCTCTTGCAGTACTCCAAACTATACCAGCCACTGTATGAGGCATCCCACAAGGAGCTAGCCTGACCCGTCCATCTGCCATTTCTATAGGCAGCCCTCTTACCCATCAGACACTATCCTGTATCTTCAATATCCACAGGTCAATTTGACCCCACATGGGTGAGCCATAGCATGCCAGGCTAAGCCACTGACCTGAGAGCTTCTTGGGTAGTTTGAAAGCTGAGGCTGGGATCATATGACCTACACAGATTTCCTTTTAGACGGTGTGTAGCAGGAATCTTAGGAGGTCTTATTAATAAAATCAAACCTGAGGCCAGTTATTGGGGTGAACACTGGAAGATCAGAGAGATCAAAACAAGCCACAGCTAACCTCACCTGACCAACTTCTCAGCTGATCTTGTTTCCTCAGACTGGAAGCCTCTGTGTCTTCATCCAGAATGAATCTCAGCTGAACTGCTGCTAGAAGCCTGAAAGCTTAACCAGCCAAATGCTTCTAGTTTCTGGTCCTCACACCTTATATACCTTTCTGCTTTCTACCACCACTCCCTGGGATTAAAGGCTCGCTTTCTGGGATTAAAGGAGTGTGTCACCATGCCTGGCCGTTTCCAGTGTGGCCTTGAACTCACAGAGATCCAGAGGGATTTCTACCTCTGGAATGCTAGGATTAAAGGTGTGAGTGCCACCATTTTCTAGCCTTTGTATCTAGTGGCTGTTCTGTCTCTGACCCCAGATAAGTTTATTAGGGTGCACAATATTTTGGGGAACACAATACCACCACAACGGTGGCCAGAAAATGCCTCTGTTAAGTGTATGTCTCATTCTCTTAGCACCTTTTAAAATTAATTTTTTGACGTTTGTTTTTATTTTATGTGCATTAGTGTCTCACCTGCATGTGTGTCTGTGTGAGGGTGTCAGATCCCCTGGAACTGAAGTTACAGTGTTGCGAGCAGCCAAGTGGTTGCTGGGAATTTCACCTGGGTCCTCTGGAAGAACAGTCAGTGCTCTTAACTGCTGAGCCATCTCTTTAACCCTTTCTTAGTACTTTTGCATCAGGCTGTACCTCAGAACAAATGGCAAGTATTAGGGAGGGGATGCAGCACATGGAGCCTCTGTAGAAGCTGCTTGTCTTAGGGTTTCTATTGCTGTGGAGAGACATCATGACCACAGCAACTCTTTTTTGTTGTTGTTTGTTTGTTTTTGTTTTTGTTTTGAGACAGGGTTTCTCTGTGTAGCTTTGGGCCTGTCCTGGATCTCGCTCTGTAGACCAGGCTGGCCTTAAACTCACAGAGATCCACCTGCCTCTGCCTCCCAAGTGCTGGGATTAAAGGCATGCGCCATCACTGTCCGGCATAGCAACTCTTATAAAGGGAAACATTTAATTGGGGCTTGCTTACAGTTCAGAGGTTTAATCCATTATTGTCATGGCAGGAAGCATGGAGGCATGCAGGCAGACATGGTGCTGGAGAAGTAGCTGAGAGTTCTACATCTGGATCCACAGGCAGCAGGAAGAGACAGTGAGCCATTAGGCCTGGTTTGAGCTTCTGAAACCTCAAAGCCTACCTCCAGTGACATACTTTCTTCAACATGGCTACATCTCCTATTAGTACCACTCCCTATGGGCCTATGGGGGCCATTGTAGCTAAAGTTTTCCTGCCTGGCCCACAGTCAGGGCAAATCTCTCTCACCCGCCAGTCCCAAGCCGCTCAAACCCGATCAAGTAAACACAGAGACTTATTTTGATTACAAACTGTATGGCCGTGGCAGGCTTCTTGCTAACTGTTCTTACAGCTTAAATTAATCCATTTCCATTAATCTATACCTTTCCACATGGCTCATGGCTTACCGGCATCTTTATACGTTGTTTCTCATCATGGCGGCTGGCAGTGTCTCTCTGACTCAGCCTTCCACTTCCCAGCTCTATTCTCCTCCTTGTCCCGCCTATACTTCCTGCCTGGCCACGGGCCAATCAGTGATTTATTTATTGACCAATCAGCAGCACATTTGACATACAGACCATCCCACAGCACCTCCCCTTTTCTTTTCTTAAAAAGGAAGGTTTTAACCTTTACACATCTCCAAAGTCAGCTTGGTATATTTGGGAATTTGGGCGTAGCTTCTCTTACTACTTCCTGCTGGAGGGGGGCGCTGTATCTTATGGGGACACAAAGAATATTTTAGGGTTATGGAGTAGTCCATGAGGGTGTATCGTCTGAGCCAGTTGCCTTGAAACGGTTCTGGATGTTGGATCATCTGGGCCATGGTGTCATCAGAGACCTTTCAGGTGGTCTTGGCTGGTCAAACCTGATGTGTCTTAATCTGGAACAAATCCATAGCCTCTGGCTTTCTGTGGAAACAAAAGCAGAGCCTCCTTTCCAAAGCAACATATCCTTACATCCAAATTTTAAAGTCAAGGTACCTTTAAAATATACATTTTGGCATAACTCAACAGCTTTTGTAATCAAATGTTTTTCTGCAGTTAAAAATCCCAAAGACAACACAATCCAGATTCTCTGTGTGAAACTCATCTTCACGTGGCTTATTTTTTATATTAATTTTACTGTCTCTTTAAAGACTTTATTTTTTAAAACTATGTATTTGTTTCTATACTGTATATATCACCTTTTTTTGTCTCTTTTAAGCCTACGTATATTTTACACACATTTTAAACTATTACATCTGAATCTGTCTTATTGTGAATCTGTTGCTTTAAGCTGCAGCAGCTGTGGCTGCTGGCTCCGCCCACCTCAGCTTCCCAACATGGCGGCGGTATGCTTACCGCCAGCTCTGGGAGCTATCGTGGGTCTATGCTTTTATCCAAGCAGCATGTAGCCCAGAAACCTCTTTTTTTGTTTTGTACTAGCAAAGACTAAATCCACCAAGCAGCTTAATGTGCCACTTGCAGAGGCCTCATTCCCGCCATACTGCAGGTCGAGCATGCACGCACGCTAGGAACCTGCCAGTAGCTCAAACCGGCAGGCTGCCGCTAACTTGAAAGAGACAACTAGGAACTGTTTTTAGCTCCGTTTTAGAATCTTTTTTCTCAGTTTTTAGGTGGAAACTCTTGCCACCACGTTGGACGCCATTTGTAGCTGAAGTTTTCCTGCCTGGCCCACAGTCAGGGCAAATCTCTCTCACCCGCCAGTCCCAAGCCGCTCAAACCCGATCAAGTAAACACAGAGACTTATTTTGATTACAAACTGTATGGCCGTGGCAGGCTTCTTGCTAACTGTTCTTACAGCTTAAATTAATCCATTTCCATTAATCTATACCTTGCCACATGGCTCATGGCTTACCGGCATCTTTACACGTTGTTTCTCATCATGGCGGCTGGCAGTGTCTCTCTGACTCAGCCTTCCACTTCCCAGCTCTATTCTCCTCCTTGTCCCGCCTATACTTCCTGCCTGGCCACGGGCCAATCAGTGATTTATTTATTGACCAATCAGCAGCACATTTGACATACAGACCATCCCACAGCAGGCCATTTTTATTCAGACCACCACACTGCTCATTCTCAGATGTGAAGGCCATGGCTAGTAATGACACCCCTTTAGGAATGCAGAACAACTGCTGTATCAGCAGGGTTCTGATTGCCCACCTAGCATGAGTGTACACAGTTACACAGATCTACTCTGACCTTCTTTGGGTTACATTTCCCTCTTGCACCCTCTGTTAGTCTCTCCTCTATCTTGGGTCACCTTCTCAAACCACCACCACACACATACAGGTGGCATTTACAGGCTGTTGGAGGTGTCTGGCTTGGGAACACGGAAGGAGTCATACTGAGAAGTGGGTTCTTCATAGGCCTTCTAGCCTCCCTTCCTACTTTCTTTCCTACATTTCTTTTTTTAATTTTTTTTTTATTTTACATACCATCCCCCAGTTCCACCTCCCTACCATTCTCACACCCCCCATATCCCCCCTCTTTCCTACATTTCTTGACAAGGTGCCAGACCAGGGAGTCCCCCAGAACATATATCTTGCCACTGGCATGTGGCCAGTACATTGCATTCTCACCTCCCAGGGCAACAGCCATCCTGCAGAACAGCAGTGGCTGGAGTACCCAAAGAATATGCTGTGTTGGGGAGAGGGGCACAGTCCTTAATGGGATCTTCCTTATCCTTGAATATTCATTCCCTGGGAATGAAGCCCTACCCACTACAGTCCACAGAGGAGTAGGATTGTAGCGCTGAGATTGTGTATACCCTCCTATGTCCTCTTGCCACTAATTGCTGTCCCTTGTCCTTGCTGTGTGAGTAGTCTAAGATCTTGTGCTCCCATTTACTCCATGGACCAGCTAGCTATAGGTATGTTTCTTGGGCACACGCTCCCCAGTTGAGCCCATACTGTGTCCTACTTGGGCATGACCAGGGAGGTTGACAACTGTTGATTGAGGCTTAGCACATTCCTCTTCACAGCAGCAATGCAGGGTCCTTGGACAGACTTCTCCCACCAGTGGGTACCGGGCGCTCACCCCGGAAGCGCACCACCAGCCAGTGCAAGTCAGAGCCACCCCTGCTTCGTACAAGCAAACGTACCATCTACACAGCCGGGCGTCCACCATGGTACAATGAACATGGCACACAGTCCAAGGAGGCCTTTGCCATTGGTAATAGCAGTGTGGGAAGGCACCTTGGGGATCAGGCTGCATGGTCAGCCCAGCTGCAACTAACTGCAAGGTAACCTTCCACACACAGGTTTGGGAGGTGGCAGTGCATCTGGGAAGACCACTGTAGCCAGAATGATCATTGAAGCACTAGATGTGCCTTGGGTGGTCCTGCTGTCCATGGATTCCTTCTATAAGGTAAGGCCCTGTTCATCTCCCTCCTTGTGACCCTTTTGCCCCTGAAAATGTAGGCCTGTGGTCACTGGGCTTCATCATGCCCCCTAGGTTCTGACACAGCAGCAGCAGGAACAGGCTGCCTGCAACAATTTCAACTTTGACCACCCTGATGCCTTCGACTTTGATCTCATCATTTCCACCCTCAAGAAACTAAAGCAGGGCAGGAGCGTCCAAGTACCCATCTATGACTTCACCACTCATAGCCGGAAAAAGGACTGGGTAGGCCCATGGTCTTAGGACCCTGGAAGGGGCTGCAGGGGCCTGAGCTGAACATTGAAACTCCCTGGTTCCTTTGCAGAAAACACTATATGGTGCAAATGTCATCATCTTTGAGGGTATTATGGCCTTTGCTGACAAGACACTGCTGGAGGTGAGAGTTTGCTGGGAGTACACACTCCACAGGTGTCCCCTTAAACACAATTCCTTTGAACACCCTGCCTCCATGCTTTGTGCTCTCTGAGAAGACTACTCTATCAGGCACTTCTAGATGAGCCCCACCTGGTGTATTCTAGACAGCTGTTCTGTACCATTAGCTAACTGACTACTTGAGTGGAGTGTGGCTTCTGGGAACAGTAGTTTCCTCTCCTATCTGTTGAGAGCTGTACTTCTGTTTCCCCTGCTCTTGATATTCTTCCTTGTTGAGGAACAAACAAGGACTTAAAGTCAGTGAGTTTGAGGGAATTTGCTGCAAGGCCTCCACAATATACCAGAGTGTGACCCTGGCCCAGGCCAAGAGGACTCTTACCATGTCATTACCTTATCATGGCAGCCCTGATCCCCACATAGCTCCTTCAGGGATCACCTATCACATGCTGACTGGAGGAGGCCACACTCTGAGCTCACAAAGCCCTACTCTTCCAGTGTTCATCGGAGGTCTGAGTGAAGTCATATGTACATCACGCTGCCAAGTCAGCCTGACTTGTCAGTTGTCTCCATTCTGTACCCCATACCCACAATGCGTCCCAACACACTTCCTATGAATGCACCCTACATGCACTAATGATTAGGCCAATGAGTGTCCTGTGGGCAGCTGGCCCCAATGACATGTTGCCACTCTGGCTCTGTGGATCCTGGCTTCTATTTAATGGTGCCACTGGTGGCTGCCTTAGCCCTGTGAAACTGGATTGTTGTTCCCACCCAGCTCCTAGACATGAAGATCTTTGTAGACACAGACTCTGATATCCGACTGGTACGGCGGCTACGCCGGGACATCAGTGAGCGAGGCCGGGACATTGAGGGTGTCATTAAGCAGTACAACAAGTTTGTCAAGCCTGCCTTTGATCAGTACATCCAGCCCACCATGCGCCTGGCAGATATTGTGGTGCCCAGAGGTGAGCTTGTCAGCCTTGTCTTCCAGCCAGTGGGGCAGAAGGGCTAGCAACTTCTGAGTTATCCTCTCTTTCTCCCCCTCCAGGGAGCGGGAATACAGTAGCCATTGACCTGATTGTGCAGCATGTCCACAGCCAGCTGGAAGAGGTTAGTCAGCCAGATAGCACTCAAAGTCCCTGTCTGTCTGTTGTCCCCACGCAGCAGCCTGCGCATCCAACCCCACACATCCACTGTCCCCTGCAGGTACTGACTCAAGTGTTCTGAGCCTACTTCCTAACCTTATTTAAATGGCCCAGCCCTCTAGGATAGGCAAGGGGACTTGACCATTCATGGAAGGGTGCACTCCTCTCCCTCCCAACCCCGAGAGTAACAGGGTGATCCACTATCCACTAGTCTAGGATTGTGGATTTCAGCATTGAGTCCCCCATCTTCCCTTTCTGAGTGGGTCACTCTACAAGTGATATTTTCCCACTATAGGTCCCAAATTAGGCGGTTTATGGCTGGGCTGTGGTGTTTGGCTACAGTCCTGCCTAGGCACTACTACTACAGCCCAGAGCCACAGGTCCCAACCCAGCTTGTCCCCACTTTAGAGGTCCTTAGAAGCTTGCCTCCTCTTGCAGTTTGCAGACCCTGAGCTATTTCCACATGGGCTGTGGAGTATCTGTCACTGGGGGTTGGGGGTAGCCTGGCTGCTTGCCCTGGTCACTGATGCATCACCCGTTCCCTTGTGTCTCCCTGTATTGCTGCCACAGCGTGAACTCAGCGTCAGGTAAGACTCCACAACTCTGCACAGATGGAGGCATTTCCAACATCTACATAGAGCTCCGGGTCAGCTGTCACCTAGCCAAGCAGACAGTCCATATCACAGGGGTAGAGTGGTGCAATTTTCCTGCTATTCCCCTACTGGCAGATAAGAACACTAAGGTACAGAGAAATTAAGGAATTTTCCGAGGAGTTTTTGTTTATTTGGTTTTGTTTTGTTTTTCTCTCAAGACAAGTTTCTCTGTGTAGTCCTAGAACTTGATCTATAGACCAGGCTGGGCTCAAACTCAGAAATCTGCCTGCTTCTGCCTCAGGAATGCTGGGATTAAAGTCACGTGCCACCACCGCCTGGCCTTTCCCAGGGTTATGTTTTACCTGTGCTGGCCAAATGTTCAGAGGCTCTTTCCTCATGCAGCCTATGTTGGGGTCCAGCCACAGAGAACACAGCTGTCCTCCTGGACTAGCGCTGCAATGCACGGTCCACACTGACATGTTCCTGCAATCATAAACCCTGGGTCTGCATCTAGGCTACTATATCTTATAAAGTGAACCATCCCATGGGCCATAGGCTCAGTTGAATCTCCCTGAGGAGTGGGGAGTAAGGGCTTGGCTCTGCCTTCTCCACCCAGGCCCTGCCTTGTCCTAGCTTAGTCTTCAAACTGCAGTACAACACAGACAGAAGGAGGCGATGCTGGCGTTGCAACAGAAGCTGGGATAGGCTGTTAAAACCATTATCATCCATGGCTGATCAAAGCCCAGGCAAGAGCCATAGGTAGCACCAGGGACCTGCCCTTCTTCCAGGCTTTCCTCAGAGTTGGGAAGATCCAGTTGAGCCACTGTGGGAATCCTCATGGCCCCCCTGGACACCTTTAGGAGTTCTGAGCCAGTGTTGGAAATGCCTCCAGGGCTATCTAAATAGCCCAGCTTCCTGTCCTTGCATGAGTCTCCGCTTGGCCTCACCAAGACCAGGGTGCCATGGACCTGTGCCAGGGCCCTTATAAAGCCTCAATTCTGAGAAAAATCTCCAGGCACAGCCAGCTCCACTTTCCATTTTCTGGTCAGCCAAGGAAGTGGTGGCTGACCCACTTGGTCTTCAACTCCAGCAAGTTACTGGTGAACAGGAGGGAAAAAAGTCTGGGTGTAGGTGGTGCTCCACCCTCAGGCACCAAGGGTGTCAGTGCCAAGACAGCTGCCAGCCTCCTGCCTCAAGTCTTTAGCCAGCTGGTAGCTACAGGGCACCTTCTGTAGGGACTTGGCTGCTCTCCCCACTAAGTGTTCTTCTCTCTGTTCTTTTCCTCTTCGTAAACCTGTTTCCTGCCTTGTTCCCTCCCTGAACACGCTCTTCACCTGTCGAGCAGAGGAAGCTGCGTTGGGATATGTGAGCAGAGCAAGCTCTGAGTGTGCTGTGCTGTGTGCTGCCCCACACCCTGCACTGCTCCTGCACTTTTTGCTTCAGTGACCCCTCCTTCCACGATCACTGTTTGTACCTTCCCCCTAACCAGCCCTCCCTCCTGCCTCTCACAAGTCCTTGGTCCTCCCCTCTCCAGGCTTGGGTTTTGAATGGGTAGCCTTTGGCACTGAGCCCTCCTTGCTTTGCCCTCCCTCCTGAGAGGGGCTACACATTACCTGGGGTATGGGTCTGAGTGGAGCTTGACCCTACAGCTTACATTCTCCCAGGAGAAGTTGGGAACAAGCTGTCCATTTGGAGGCTGAGATCTGTTCCCACAGTAAGCTCCCTTGTTACCTATGTCTGACCTCTTTATCTGAGCCTAGGAAGGGACCCTCATGCCTCAGCCCCTCAGCATCCTCCTCACTGAGACTGTGTTCAGTGTTCAGAATTGAGCATTCTCACTTTTGCCTGGCATTTTAGGTGACAAGTCATCTTTCATGGGTAGACAGTCAGCAGACAGCTTCCACCCCGCACGTGCCCCTGCCCCCATGGTGATGTTCAGATGTCCTCTGGGGCAGAAAGGGACTTTTGGATAAGATATGCCAATCAATTTGTATCTCTAGGGCCGCTTTGGCCTCAGCTCACCAGTGCCATCCCCTTCCCCAGACGTTGAGTGTCCTCAAGAGTACACCACAGGTACGGGGCATGCACACCATCATCAGGTAAGGGCCCACCTATGGAGTGCTATACCCCCAATTCTGCTCCACTCCACCCCCAGGTTCTGGCCCATCCCTTTCTAAAGTCTGTTTATTCCAACATCAGGGACAAGGAGACCAGCCGGGATGAATTCATTTTCTACTCCAAAAGATTGATGCGGCTGCTTATTGAACATGCACTGTCCTTCCTACCCTTCCAGGTGTGGGTTTGTGGGAGAAGGGGTAGGTGTCTTGCCATCCTGGGCTTATGATGCGGGGCTCAGCTCTGGCTGCTCATAGATACCCCAACTCACTATGCAGGACTGCACTGTACAGACCCCACAGGGGCAAGACTACGTGGGAAAGTGCTATGCTGGAAAGCAGGTGAGATGGCAATAGCTGCTGGGGTAGGAGGCTATAGGTTGGAGGCATCCAGCTTGCAGCTTACTCACCCCTCCCTTTCCTTAGATCACCGGAGTGTCCATTCTTCGTGCAGGGGAAACCATGGAGCCTGCACTGCGTGCTGTGTGTAAGGATGTGCGCATCGGCACTATCCTCATCCAGACCAACCAGCTCACAGGGGAGCCTGAGGTGTCCAGCCAGGGAGAGCTGGGGGTCACAGTGATGCCCAGCCTATGAGGAGAGTGGGGGGCTCAGAAGCCTGATGTGGGGGCCCTCTAACCTTACTATCAATTATAGCTCCACTACCTGAGACTTCCCAAGGACATTAGTGATGACCATGTGATCCTGATGGACTGCACAGTATCCACAGGTGCTGCAGCCATGATGGCTGTACGTGTACTGCTGGTAAGTGTGCCTGGGTGGGCTGCAGGTAGGTTCCCTCGGTGTTGGAACTTATCCTGTCCCCATGCTGCACAGGACCATGATGTGCCAGAGGACAAGATCTTCTTGCTATCCCTGCTCATGGCAGAGATGGGTGTGCACTCTGTGGCCTATGCATTCCCACGTGTAAGAATCATCACCACAGCTGTGGACAAGCGTGTCAATGACCTTTTCCGTATCATCCCAGGCATTGGTGAGGCTGTCATAGTCCAGGGGCATGGCTGATGACCTAGGAGGACCCAGTCACACAAGGGTCCCATTTCTTTTTGCAGGGAATTTTGGTGATCGCTACTTTGGGACAGATGCAGTTCCTGACGGCAGTGATGAGGAAGAGACAGCCTCTGTGGGCTAGTTCCCAGTCTGAGCTACTCTTATTTCTATCAAGCCTCCTGTCTCCTGGTCTGGGATTGCAGAAACAACACATTAACTTATTTGAATTTAAAATGTTATCAGACATTCAGTTTACACATTTTATAAATCAATAAAGCTTTAGAAAATGAAGGTGTGGCAGAATGTATCCTGGGTGGGCTCAGCTGAGGCAGTCTCCAAGGTGTGTGTAGTGGTTTGAATAGGTATGGCCCCCATAGACTCATGTGTTTGAATCCTTGGCCCATAGGGAGTGGCAATAGTAGGTGTGGCCTTGTTGGAGGAAGTGTCACTGTAAGGGTGAGCTTTGAGGTCTCACATACTCAAGCTACGCCCAGTACACAGTCTCCTCCTACTGCTAGCAGAACAAGATGTAGAACTCTCAGCTTCTTCTCCAGCACCATGTCTGCCTGTGTGCTGCCATGCTTCTCACCATGATGATAATGGACTAAATCTCTGAACTGTAAGCAAGCCCCAATGAAATGCTTTCCTTTTTAAAAATTGCCGTGGTCATGGTGTCTCTTCACAGCCAATAGAAACCCTAAGACAGAAGTTGAGAATGAGGTGAAGGGTCCAGCTCTATCCAGCAGGACAAGGTATTCTCCTCCCTGTATTCCTTACAATTGAAAACTTATTCATTCATTGCCTGATGAAGATAAGGAAGTGGGGCCTCCAAATGAACCATACAGCCCCGTGCCCACCTGATCTGGACCTGTGCACAGACAGGGCTACCTAGGGTTCTGAGAGGAGGCAACCCTTGTGACCACTTCCTCCCAACCACATTGATACTACCAAAGGATCCATAAAAAGCTGGTATGTGGGCAGCTATGACAAGGACTGAGCCATGGAAGAAGACCCAGCTCCAAGATGGTCGGAGCCTCAGGTTTTCAGAACCAAAGTCTCATGTCCAGCCCTGCCTTGCTGCTACTAGACTCTAGAGGGTAAGAGAAGCTTCTCTGGAAACTGCCAGGCATCTTGCTCCTGTCATGTTGATTCTATCCCAATGAGGTGACAGACATATGCATAGGGACAACTATTGGATATGAGCTGTGGGTCTCTGAACTGTGACGGGTAGGCTGGGAACCTAAAATAGGTTCCCTCAAACCCTATTTAAGCTTGGCTTGTGCCTTTTTCCTGCTTGTCATGGAAAAACTATGAGAAGCTGGGTAGGGACCAGGTCCTTCCTAGAAGGGTTCTACCCAAGTCCAACCAGGATGACTGGTTCCCAAGAACAAATCAAACCAATACACATATATGTACAAAATCCAGCTGCCTTAGCAGAGTTGAAGGACTAACAGGTTCTTCATTCTGGACAAGGCATTTAGAAATGAGGTGTCAGAACTGAGGGGAGGGGTGTTCACAGCTTGACCAGGAAAGAGGAAATGAGGCCTCATTCCATAGGGGACCCAGCAGGGGCCAACATCAGGTGCCATTTCAGTGCCAAATTCACAAACAGAATTAGGCAGGAATCACTAATAAGACACACATGGTCTGCAATGAAAACATTTGTTTGACAACAGCTATCTTTATTTTAGGTCAACATTTAGACAGGTCACCATGCGGAACCACCACAGCTTTCAGTTTGGCCCTTGGAAAGTACACCAAAGTCATTCAGCCTGGGCTGACAGCAGCTTGTACTCTGCTGTATACAGATTTCAGTAGCGGGTAAAACTAGTACAGGCTTTCCATGCACTTGCATTCAGCTCTTAAAAATTGTCTTTAAGTAAAAAAATTTTCCCCCAACTTAGCATGAGACACTTCCCTAGAAAACTACCAGCAGCACAGCCTATGGGGCACTTGACTGGGGCCCTTTCTTGGCCACAGAAAACCCCTGCCTGGGCTATCCTTTACATGGTTACTGATTTTAACAGGTGCTCATTAATTTTAGTGTTTCAAGAGAGGAAAGCTTCTAGTCATGTCCTATACCTCATATATTTGACGGTCGATGAGCTTGGCATGGTCCCCAGGGATATATTTGGTATAGTCACCCTTGTGCCCAACATACATACCTGAAGCCAAATGCTGGCCAGGGTCTATGCAGTGCATTCAGGTACATGTACCTATATGTATACAATAAGCTTAGGGTTTCCTTTTGTGTTTTGCCAAGAGATCCTACCCCTGCCCAACACTCCAAGAAACCACAGGCTATTTTGGAGCCGACTTTTATTGTACTTGTTGCTTTGCCACCAAACAGCAGCATGACAGGCCTGCTGCGTGATATATACATATACACATATGTACACACACCAACACACACCATAGCCCACACTCACAGCATGTGACAACACATACCGTGCTTGTGAGGATAGTAAAGATGTAGCTTTTGTTATTTTCATAGGAGGATAACTCAACCAAAATAAAAGGAACAGGTCAGTGCTGGGACACATGGGTTCACAGCTCAAAACACAGGGAAAAGAATGAGATCAGTCATGTTTTATACTGTCCACAGCTATCCCTCAATAAAAGGTGCACTGAAAGCCACAGGAAGATGGTCATGGCCCACCAGTTCTCTGTACCACAGCACCTAGACCCTCCAGGGACAGCTTGAATGTTTGGGTCACCATCTCTGGAGACTACCAGATGCAACAATGGCAGCTCCTTTGCACAAGGTTCACCTGGAATAAAAGCCATGGGTCAGCAGGACAGTGGGCATTGATGTTAGTAAAACCTGGCATCTGAACATCTGAGAAGAGACTGGCTTTATGATTCCGTAACAAATCCAGCAACCAACAACTTGGGAAAGTTTCCTGCTAACCACAGTAAGCACTGATTTCTTTTTCTAACAGGTCCCCATTGGGTGCTGGCTATGATAATGAACATCAGAAGACTAGGAAGGGTTATAAACATTGCACAGAATTATCTAAAGTAATTTAAAAATACAGTCAAAAGGAAGACAAGGAAAGACCACATCATTGGGCACAAACAGAAATCTACACTCTAGTCTTGGTGAGATGGGTCTCCAGGATCTCTCCCAAATACTTTCTGTAGGTCAGAAGTGATCAGTTTCTGGTCCTGAAGGGGTATCCACTGCTCTCGACGAACTTCCATGCACAGACTCCAGCACTCCCTTGGCAAAACACCACAACACCATCTACATTGCCTACCAGTATAGGAGTTTAGGGAGTGTGTGTGTGTGTGTGTGTGTGTGTGTGTGTGTGTGTGTATTCATATTTAATAGTATTTGGTCAGGAATAGTCAGGCTGATTCTGAGACTCACCAGTTATGCTTAGGTCAGGGCAAATGAAATCAAGGAGAACTTAGATCAACACAGTAAAACCCTGCAGGGAGTCTGTGTGAAGGGATAGGTCAGGGAGTTAACTGGCCTTGGCAATCACTATTATCACCTTGAAATTGTTCTACATATTGATGGTTTCAAGTTCAACATGATTTATTTAGCTTTACAAATTCCAAAAGACACTAGGTTCAACTTCTGTGCTCTCACCCTACAGCACCACAAGTCCCAGTTCAGGACCTGGCTCACTAGGATGTAAGGGAAAGGGCCACAGAGGTACATGCAGGAGGGATGTGCTTCCAGATTGCAGCTCTCTACTCATTACCTACAACTCTGAACCTGGTTACTGGTCATTATGTTAAAAGGGCACCAAGATTAATGTACTGGGACCAGCACCCCAGATGCCCAGTGGCCTTGCTTCTTCTTTTGTTGCAACAATTGGCCCAGCAATGAATTTCTCATTCTTCTACTAGATTTGTTTGAGTCGGAGTCTTACTGTGTAAAGCCTAGACTGGCCTACAACTCAATGTCCTTCTACCTCAGCCTCCCTAGTGCTGGGATTATAGGCATGTCCCACTACATCTAGCCACAGGTCCAATGTTTACAAATTATTTCTAACGTAGTATGTTAGTGAAAATCCCTAAGATCCTTTAAAGAACAAAACAAACTAACAAACCCATGGAAGGATCTTGAAGCCAGCTTCTGGCTCATGGAGTTCTCCTGTAGGGTCAGTTGGGAACCCTGGCATCAATGTCTCCCAGGATCTGGATAGGTACCCTCAATCACTGCCAGCTTTGTCCTCACAATGCTGCCTCTTCTTGCAACTTCCTGTCAACCTGATCTGGTCCCTGAAGGCCCTGGTGAACTGGGGCCAGGTGGACAGGGTGGGCTTCGGAAACACATGGTGGTTTGTCTGAGCCACTGAGTCACCACATGAGCTTTCTCCTTCTTCATCTGTACTGGAAATGCAGGTAGTCAGCAGCAGCCAGCAGGAAGGTTCTGGAGGAACCAGGCTCATTGAAGTCTGGTGCAGCTAATCCAGCTAACTGTAAAAGGGTAGTGTGGTTCAAAATCCCTGGTAACCACATTTTTCAATTCCACCCACCACGGTACCCTGTGACCAAGACTGGAATACTGACTGGAGGTTCACAAAGGAATTCTGTAGCCTGCAGCTGGCATCCCAGGTCGAGTGACTGTCACCATAGCTTCCCTAGAAGCCAACCCTTTTGAGTCAGAGGTACCAGGGTCCAGTCACCTACTCCAGGAACCCAACACTCCAGCTCTGCCAGAGGCATTCATGATGACAGGTGGAAGCGGAGGCAAGTGGGGTGGATGGAGTTCTGGCAAGCACAGGGAGGAGGTTCTGGATCCTGGGTACTCAAACTCTTTATAAGCAGCTACATGCCACCCACAACTGGACTCAAAGACTTTCTGACTATTACTAAGTGGCAGGTGCTACCATTTGTGGTTCTTAAAGTCCAAAAAAAAAAAAAAAAAAGATTAAAAAGGTTGGCTTGAAGGAATGTGGAAGATGACCCAGGAATGAGGGAAGGAGGCTGTGGCCCCGTCAATCCAGCTTTTGACCTGGAAAGGTGCAGAACAGAGACAAATGATTTCCCATACACCAGCAAGGGACATGCCTCCAATGATAAGATCTCAGTCCACAAGGCCAGGAGACCCAAGATAGAGATACTACACAGAGTGTGCTCCCACTTTCAGAAGGGGCATACCTGCACTCTCCATAGCAGATCTAACACAGGAAAACTGTCACGAGGCCGAGTGAGATGATGCAGAGACCCTATGAAAGCTTCCCAACACGAACATCGTGCAAACGACTGATGCTGGTGGTGCCTGGGAGGATGGGGCCCAGCTCCCTCCTTTGCAGGTCAAATCAGAACCCTGTCTGCAGCCTTGAGGATGAGATCAGAGCCATGGACTAGACCATGTCACAGGACACAGGCCAACAAGGAGATGTAGCTCCAGGTGCCTACCTTACTCCTGTAAGCACAAGGAGACAGCTGAACCTCACTGGACCCACTTGGCTGAAAACCCAAGAAAGCACTACCATCCAGTTAATTCAGCCCAGCTGTAGCACATCCACAACACAGACATTGAACATAACCCATACATGCTATTAAAAAAAGGATAAAACATAAGAAGACCGTAGCTACACTGCTTTAAATACTGCATGCTACGCACTTCGTCGTGTATCAAGGATTGACAGATGGTTGGGCTTAGAGGAGGTGGGAGGGGCCCTGACCAGCCACAGCAGGTCAGGTTGACGGCTGCCTCCCCATCTCAGTGACTACAGTTCATGATTCTAAGGTTGCAGTGGCCAGGTGCCGATTCATCCTCTAATCACAGCCTCTCCTGAATTTAGTTGAACCCGTCGGTGTGGTAGCTGGGGTGGGAGTCAGCCGTCAGCTGGGTGGTCTCTGTGGCGGATGCTGGCTGTATGACGATCGGTGTGTCTGTAGCCTCTGAAAAGTAAGTAAGTAGCCTCATCGCACAAGGGCAGCAGCCGTATTGTGTGCCCATTGACATGGTCCTTGCATCACACCATTCGGCCACCTGGACAGACACTCAGGGGAGAGGCTACTTGCTGACCTCCACCCAACACACTTTCCTCAGTGGTCTCAGGTCACACCAGCCCCCGGCCCTCCCCACCTGCCTGTCACCCTCCCCACCTTTGGTCCCTCAGATCTACGGCTACCACAGTTCACGGGCAGGAACAGCTCCCTGCACCTGCTTTACCTCAAGTGTCCACGTTCACACCTCAACAGTCCCAGATGCCACCACAAACACTCTCGGCACAGTGTCAGTGCCCTCCTGTTTGACAAGACAGTTGACACCGTTCAGGGCCAGTGCTGGCTCCACCCCACACACTCACAAGGTCCTGGGGTGGGCACTTACCCCTCTCATCAGACTGCAGCTGTGCCTCCAGGTCTTCAGGCGATACGTAGAATTCCGTCTCTTCACCCTCAGGTGCCTTGGGCTTGCACTTCCCACAGCAGCAGTTAAAGCAACAGCACAAACAGCAGCAGCAGTAGCAGCAGGTGAGGAGGCCACAGACAACGAACAGGGCCTGGGAAAGAGAATATTAGCACTGTACAGCCTCAAGGGCCCTTAGGCCATAACACAAGAACCTCCCTAGAGAAGACAGGACAAGAGCTGCAGAATGTACAGCTAATGCTAAGGGTATTTTTCAGAAGGGTGAAGGCAGAAAAAATAGAATAAAGTAATTTGTAAAGATGGGATTGAGCACAGGCTGCCATGAGATTCTATTGAGTTTGCCTGCCTTTCTGAACTCTGAAAGGTTTAACTTTCCCATTTTGTTCTCTTCTATTTCTTTTGTATTCAGATGTTGGCCAGTGCCTAAGTATGCTTTCTCTGGTACTTTGGGCTTCGTTATTCTTTCTCTGAAGTCTCACTCCCAACTTTCTGCAATGCAGCTGTCTGCTGGTCTGCAATGTAGCTGACCTCCATGTCTAACTCAAATGGCATGGCTCTCTCCCTCTTAAATTTCCACCTATAAATCTATAATGGATTTCTCTCTAAAACTATAAAGATTGAGGACTAACCAGTAAAAGCCAAAATCAGGCTTCCTATACCTAAGGGCTATGGGATAGATCATTCTGACTTTGTATATGGCTGACAGATGAGAAAAGCAAAAATTAAAATAAATTAAAAAAATAAAACAAACTATGTAGGTCAAGCATTTCTAAAGTGAGATTTTAAGTCTCCCCGATAACAAAATGCCTGCCCACACCATGATGAAAGAATTGTTTCCTATCTCAATCTTTTTAATAACTTGGCACCATGCATCAGAGAAAAACTATGTTAATGCAAAATGGTTCTGCTCCATGTACACTGTGCACTATGCCTGCCATGAATGGGCCAGCATGCCAGTTGTACAGTATATAGAGAACAGCTCCAGGCCAGAAACCATGTCAAGAGAAAGGAGGCACAGATCTTTCAGTGTCTGTAGTCCTACTGGGCACTAGAATTTTCAATGTCTTCAGTGTGGCAGCTCACACTGACAGCGGCCCATCCTCACCTTGGCCCACCAGCTGGAGAGTACGAAGTAGGTGTTGACGTTCTCCTCCCCAAATTGCTCGGCCACATAGAGCCCCAGCGAGCCGTACTTGTCATAAATGTTTCTTTTCGTGGCATCTGTCAGGATGGCGTGGGCGTTGTTAATCTCCTTAAACTTGTCTGCAGCTTCTGGGTTATCAGGGTTCTTGTCAGGGTGATATTTCAGGGCCAGCTTCCTGTAACCAAAACCATTTCCTGGCTCTACCTTGGTCTTGCATTTCACATTCATCCATCAGAGTCCAGGGAAAGAGATGCTTACCCATTCAATTTTCAATTTTCCAGAGATCTGGCTCACCAGAGTGAAAAAGTCTCTGTAATTGTTTTAGGGCAACCTTCCCCGCCACTGGGATACATGCACATGGGAGAGTCCTGAGGTACTAAGGGCAGGGCACAGCTTATAGCACAATGACTCCTGCTAACTTTCAAAGGGAAATCCTACTGTCAACCCCCCGTGTCCAGCCAGCTAACTGCATATCTGACTAATAAGGTGATGGCAGAAGTGCATAACAATGACATTCTAGTACAACACAAGTAGAGGAGCACAGGAGTATCTGAGGTAGAGCCCCCGCCCCCTTTCTAGGTTACTGTATATCATATTGTACTTAAAAGCTACATTCTTCAAGTCCATTCAGTCATGAAAGGACAAAAAAGACCTCATCACTGTGTTAAGTACAACATTCAGCACTATAAAGGTTCTGTCTATGCCCAGGGTACAGACCCTGACCCTATGGTCTGGGGACAGTTGGCAATATCTTCCAAGTGTGTTTACTTTTTTGCCACTAGAGAACATCAGTGTAACAGGGTTTTGTTTGTTTGAGAAAGGGCCTCTCTAAATAGCTCTGGTTGTCCTGGAACTCAATATGTAGACCAGGCTGGCCTCAAAACACAGATACCCTTTTGCCTCTGCTTCCCAAGTGCTAAGATTAAAGGCATGCACCACCACGCATGGCCAGTGTAAGTTTTAAGTCTTAGGATTAAACTATACATGTGAGGATGAAATGAAACTGTTAAAAGAGTCTGCCAAGAAAAGTCATGGTTCTTAGTAAAATATACAAGAAATCAGATGAGGATTTATGTTTTTCCTTGGAACACAGCTGCTTACCGATAGGACTTTTTAATGTCATCCGAGGTTGCATTCTTGTCCAGCCCAAGAACATGATATAGTGATTCCCCGGAGGTAGATAGTGAGCGCTGCCTCTGGTCAGCCATGTTAGATTAATCTACAAGAGAAGATAAAGGAAAATACGGAGAAAAATTCAAAACCTAGGCCAGCAAGATGCTCAGTGGATAAGGGCACTGCTGTCATGCCAGACAAGTTAAATTTGAGTTCCCAAACTCAAATGATAAAAGAGGAAAATAGCTCCTAATAGTTATCTTCTGACCTCCTAAGTGTGCTGTGGTATATGTGTCCCCCTTCCACCCCAAAAATAAATATGTGGGACAGGTTTCTGAAAACTGAATATGTATTAAATATTGTAATCCCTAGAGCAAAATGCAAAGAGAGGCTGGGGCTACATACTGCTCAGTGGCAGATGACTTGCCTAGTGTGCACATGAGGCGACAATCAAAACCCCAAGCATACCCACACCCACACCTACACACAGCGCACAGAGGTATATAGCTACAAAGTTTAAAGAAAAAAGCAAAAAAATCATGTTAGATGTGGTAGAACATGCCTGTAACCCCAGCTTTTTGGAAGGATAAGGCAAAAGGGTCTAGTTCAAGGCCAGTCCCATCCCCCTGTCTTTAAAAACCCACAACAAAACCTTAAAGAAGCCAGGTGGTGGTGGAGCATGCCTTTAATCCTAGCATTAGGGAGGCAGAGCCAGGAGGATCTCTGTGAGTTCAAGACTAGCCTGGTTTACAGATCGAGTTCCAAGAAAGGCTCCGAAGGTACACAGAGAAACCCTGTCTCGAAAAACAAACAAAACAAAAAAACCCTTAAAGAAACTGAAGGAAATAATAAAATATGAACAAAAGAGCAAGGAGGAGTGGATGGGGAGGGGGTAGATGGGAGGGAGGAACGGGAGGAGAGGAGGGAGGGGAAACTATGGTCGTCGGTATGTAAAATAAATGAAAAAAAAAGTTAATAAAAATGGAAAAAAGCCAAATTAGGGAAAAAAAAAGAATTGATCATGATAAAACATTTAACTAGCTTTTCAGAAGAACTCTTAACAGATGCTCACAGGGAAACCTGGAACCCAGGCCTCTGTGATGGATAAGGAAACTGGACCCTGCAACTTAAAATACATATGTAGAAGTTACTTGGCAAAATGACCCCTGTATCTGTTCTCAATTTCAGAAGTTTGAATGTTTTTTTTTTTTTGTTTTTTTTTTTTGTGTGTGTGTGTGTGGTTTTTTTTGTTTTTGTTTTTTTGAGACATGGTTTCTCTGTGTAGCCCTGGCTGTCCTGGAACTCTGAGATCCACCTGCCTTTGCATCCCAAGTACTGGGATTAAAGACATGCACCACCACGGCCCAACTAAACAATGTTTTTTGCCATGTAATAAATCCTCAGAATACTGATTAAGAATCATCTATATCCATGTTTCCTGAACTGCCATTCTTGAGATTCCAAATAAAGTCCTTTTTACTTACTTTCGCAGTGTCTGGGTTTAAACTGACTGACAAAGCAGAAAGCAATAGAACAGAAACAGAAAATTTAAAAAGCCAAGGTTTGATGCCTATTATTTTTTTAAACATTTGTGTATGTGTGTGTTCACATGCACAGGCACGTGCCATAACACATGTGAAAGGGTCAGAGACCAACTTTTGGAAGTTCATTCTCTTCTTCCACCAAGGGATCAAACTCAGGTCAACAAGCTTGGGGATATAATTCAGTAGGAAAGAGCGTGCCTGCATGCATGAGACTGGGTTTGATCCTTGGTTCCTGAAGCCAGTCTGAACAGGCAAAAGACCAATTTGTGATTTACTATCAGGCTTATTGTAATGAAGCTTTCATTAAAAACTTAAAAAGACTGGCCCAGAGAGACTGCAGACTAGATGGTGAGAATATGAGGTGGCTCCCAGGAAGGTGAATAAGAAAATACTGAAGGGACACAAGTGTCTGTGCTTGGAACCAATCAGAAGCTTGCTCTATACATTAAAATATTTTTATTTTTAATTATGTATGTGTGCATCTATGTGTAGGTAAGTGCACAGAGTACAGACAGATGCCTGTGGAGGCTAGACAGAGGCAGTGGATCCCTTAAAGCTGGAATAACAGATGGTTGTTAGCCACCCCACAGGGATGCTGGGAACTCAACTTGGGTCCTCTGCAAGAGCAGTACAAACTCAACTACTGAGCTTTTTCTCCAGCCCAATATTATCCATCTTTTAATATAACCCCTTATTTGTAATCTCCAAATTATCTATTTGGAGGCACCAGACTGAGACTACCTATAATCCCTGAAATCAGCAAGTGGGGACAAGAAGATTAAGGGTTCAAGATTAGGATGTATATAAGATTGTCTCAAAAGCCCTCTCATTTCAAGGCTGAACAAAGCAACTCATTAGGAGGAAAAGAGTCTCAAGAGCATGCAAAAGAGTCAGAGATACACCCATTCCCACTGTTAGGAACCTCACAAAAATACCAAGCTAACAGCCATAACATACACCACAAGACCTGGTGTCGACCCATGCGTGCCGTGCCTTGTGCTTGTCGTTTCAGTCTGGGAGCCCACTGGAGCCCTGGTTAGTTGATTCAGTGAGCCATGTTCTCCTGGTGTTCTCCATCCCCTCTGACTCCTACAAGTCTTTCCACCCCCTCTTCCTCAGGGTTCCCTAATCTCCAAGAGGAGGGACCCAACGGAGATCTCCAATTTAGACTCCTCAGAATAATGTCTGGCTGTGGGTCTCTGCACCCACTCCCATTTGCTACTGGAGGAAGCCTCTCTGACAACAACTGGACAAGGCATCAATCTATGAGTATATCAGAATATCATTAGGAAACACTTCATTGATTTTTTTTTTTCAGTCTGTTTGGTTCTACCCTATGTCTCTGTGTTATCCAGTTTCCAGGTCAAGTTAAACCAAATACTGATTGGCCATTCCCCAAGTTCTATGCCACCATGGCCCCAGGACATTTTGTAGGCAGGACAGGTTGTAGGGGAAGGTTCTAGTGGTTGGGTTGGTGGCCAGGTTTCTTTTTATAGCCTGCAAAGTACCTTCTCACACAGAAGAGAATGTAAGAGTGAAGGCTCAAAGCCCACATCAGCCTCACCTCTCTATATTCAATGTGCTGTGTGGAAGTTGTCCTTGGCAATGGGGCTTTGCTTCCAGTTTTCAGAGAGTGACCTTCTGTCCTAGCATCAGCCAGGGTTGTTTAGAGATCTCCACTGGACTTCTTCAGTCAACAACCCAAACAAATGTAACCCCAGTCCCACCACTGGAAAAAAGATGGCCAGTTTACACTCTGTATCCTCCAGTTTATCCTCTGTAGTCCTCTCTAGTATCATCTTCATAGATCTTAGGAAGTGTTGCAGAACACTCCTTTACACTGTGTGAAGATGTGTCATTACGACTGGCTTAATAAAGAGTTGAATAGCTAGGCAGGAAGAGGTTAGGCAGGACTTCTGGGGACAGGAAGGACTCAAAAAAAAGAGCAGAGAAAGCAGCATGAGTACTATGGAGAGATGAGGTAACAAGTCACGCAACAGAACACAGATTAAGATAAATGGGTTAATTTTAGTTACAAGAGCTAGTAGGACAAACCAAAGCTAAGGCCAAGTTTTCATAATTAATAAGTCTCTGTGTCATTATTTGGGAGCTGGCAGTACAAAGAAAGACTTGCTACAAGACTAGGTTTCCACACCACCCTCCAAGCGTCCCCCAATTCCAGCTGTCCCTCCCACTCCCACTCCAAGTCCACCTATAGAATCTATTCTATTTCCCCTTCCCAAGGAGATCCATACTTCACCCTATAGCCATCCTCTTTACCTGTCTGGGTCTGTGGATTATAGCTTGGTTATCATTTACCTAACAGTTAATATCCACTTATAAGTGATATATACCATATTTGTCTTTCTGGGTCTGGGCTACCTTACTAGGATTTTTTTCTAGTTGCATCCGTTTGCCTGCAAATTTCATGATGCCCCCCCACACCACCCCCAAACCACCACTCCACTGTGTAAATGTATCTCATTTTCTTATCCAGTCTTCAGTTGAAGGACATCTAGATTGTTTCCAGTTTCTGGCAGTTGAGTCCTTGTGGTAGGACGGAGTGTTGTTTGGGTATATGCCCAAGAATGATATAGATGGTCTTGAGGTAGATCAATTCCCAATTTTCTAAGGAAATGCCATATTGATTTCCATAGTGGCCGTATAAGTTTGCACTCCCACCAACAATGGAGGAGTGTTCCCCTTGTACCACACCCTTACCAGCACTGGCTGTCACTTGTATTGTTGATCTTAGCTATTCTGACAGGTGTGTAAGATAGAATCTGAAATGTAGTTTTTTTTGGGTTTTTTTTTTTGGCTTTTTGAGACAGGGTTTCTCTGTAGCTTTGGAGCCTGTCCTGGAACTCACTCTGTAGACCAGGCTGTCCTTGAACTCACAGAGATCTGCCTGCCTCTGCTTCCCCGAGTGCTGGGATTAAAGGTGTGCGCGGCGGCGGCCACCACCACCACCACCACCGCCGCCGCCGCCGCCGCCGCCGCCGCCACCACCCAGACTGAAATGTAGTTTTGATTTGCATTTCCTTGAAGGCTAAGAATTTTTTTTTTTTTTTTTTGGTTTTTTTGAGACAGGGTTTCTCTGTGTAGCTTTGCGCCTTTTCCTGGATCTCGCTCTGTAGACCAGGCTGGCCTCGAACTCACAAAGATCCACCTGCCTCTGCCTCCCAAGTGCTGGGATTAAAGGCGTGCGCCACCACCGCCCGGCTTTTTTTTTTTTTTTTTTTAGATTTATTTATTTATTATGTATGCAGTGTTCTGTTTGCATGTATCCCTGCAGGCCAGAAGAGGGCGCCAGATCTCATTACAGATGGTTGTGAGCCACCATATGGGTGCTGGGAATTGAACTCGGGACCTCTGGAAGAACAGTCAGTGTTCTTAACCTCTGAGCCATCTCCCCAGCCCCGAAGGCTAAGAATATTAAACATTTCTTTTTAAGTGTTTCTCAGCCATTTGCGATTCTTCTATTGAGAATTCTATCTAGAGCTGTACTCCATTTTAATTGGATTATTTGATTTTTTTAATATCTAGTTTCTTGAGTTCTTTA